ATATATATATATATATATATATATATATATATATATATATATATATATATATTATATATATATATATATATATATATATACATATATATATATATATATATATATATCAATCATCTGTCGTCCCCATTCCTGCTGAGCATTATGTACTCAATCTGAGTGTACAAAGACTGATATGTACACTACGTACTACAAATGATTTTTATTCGATTGGTGTCTGTGAACAGTCATATATAGAGTATGTTTATTTATTTGCAAATGGACATCCTCCGGGGTTAACTATATAATGATATTTATATTCCTTCTTACAGCGCCGCATACGATCCAACAATAATATCAACTAGAGGACTCGTCATCATCGCACCTGCTGCAGCTGCTGTCCTCTTCGACCTTCTTATCCATTCTTTTTTGCATTTATTTTTGTTCGAGCATGATGATCATTTACAGCAGTGAGAACTGGCACACTTGTTGTCACCATATCTGAAGCAGTGCATGCCCTCATCAATCTTCTTGCCCAAGCTCTTGCACTTGCCTTGATTGTTATCCTTATGGCACATCATCCCCTGATCACCACCATGATCTTTCTCATGGTCCTTATCATGATCCTTATCATGGTCTTTCTCGTGGTCCTTGTCATGGTCTTTCTCATGGTCCATTTCATGATCCTTCTCATGATGCTTCTCATGTTCCTTGTCATGATCCTTGCCATGGTCCTTGTCATGGTCCTTTTTCTGGTGCATATCATGATCCTTCTCATGACCCTGCTCATATTCCTTACCATGGTTCTTATTATGGTCCTTACCATCATCATGATGTTTGCCATGGTTCTTGCCATCATCATGGTCCATGCAGCAGTGGGAACTGGCACACTTGTTGTCACCGTATCTGAAGCAGTGCATGTGCTCGTCTATTTTCTTGCCCAAGCTCTTACATTTGCCTTGGTTGTTATCCTTGTGGCACATCATCGGCTTTTCAACATCATCACCATGGTACTTGTCATCATCATGGTGCTTGTCATCATCATGATGCTTAACATCATCATGGTCCATGCAGCAGTGTGAGCTGGCGCACTTTTCATCACCATATCGGAAGCAGTGCCTGTGCTTATCCACCTTCTTGCCCATACCTTTGCATTTGCCTTGATTGGTATCGTCAGAACACTTCATCTTGTGTTCATCATCGTCATCATCAGCATCATCTCCGCGTCTATCCATGCAACAGTGTGAAGTTGAACATTTGTCACTGCCACTTAGGTTGCAGTGTTGTTTCGTATCAATATCCTTGTTCATGCCATCGCACTTGCCATTGTTGTTGGATTCAGAACACATCTCCATCATGGAAGGAGAAGAAGCCGCCATTGCCATTGCCGCAGTGGTGACAAGTACTAATGTTGTGCGCAACAGTTTCATGTTGATATCTTCAGTTTACTTCACTTACTTCAAAATCGAGTGTATGAAGTGAACGTCCTTAGTGGGACTCTTTTTATAGCCCCAACCTTCCACTGCTTGTGATAGATGGAACATTGTATCGATTATGGTTCAAACATTTTGCGATGGAAAATGGTACCGATTTTGAAGTTAGCTAAGAATTATACGATCGATCACCTGTTACATCAGCTCAAGACGAGAATGACGTGTGTTAAAAATATATTAGTAGCGTGTGTAAAATTTCTTGAAATAAAAATATAAAGAGTAATCAAATATTTATGCTGTTTTTTAAAATGTTGCCTCAACAGTCATCATAACTGTTTTTTGTTTTAGTTGATTCTTTAAAAAAACACCTAAATATTTTCTTGTTAAAATACCTTTTAAAAACAAATATATATACAAACTAAATCTTGATTGCATTCGAACTTTTTTTTTTAAGTATTTACTATTTACGGACAAATGTACGGACTTCGGACATCTATAGATTCGGATTCCTTACAGAACACAGCTACTCCAAACAATCCAACAGCTATGTAAATTGTTAGATACATATGTATGATTGTATTGACATGATGACCGGCTGCGGCTACCCCATTGGCTCACGACCTTTTATTTGTTTAAAATAGGCCTATACAATACTATTTGTTTTATTCTTTCTCTTGTTTTAACAAAAAAGAAATGTATAATTTAGAGGGCTGTGAACGAAACCGGAAATCCTTTTGTTCGTGATACAGAATCGTTTACTTGCTCTTGACGGCTATCTTCTGTTGGAGATCTATAGTCTTTCCTGGTCAGTTTTTTTATTTTTTACATACATATGAACAAGAAGAAGAGAAGACAATAAACTGTATACAACAATATGTTTACAATTGCTTTACTATTCACGCCTCTGATTTCGTGTTTGTCATAATGCCATTGTCATTGAGGGTTTGAAATTTGTAATTATGTATATAAATACATCAAATGTTGAAATGGCAGTTTTTAAATAAAAAAATGAGCATGACTAATATGGTAGCAATTTACTATGTATATAATTATACATGAGTATGTATGTAATAACTATTCAGTTCGGTTACTCGGATGAATAAATTTAAAACCTGCAAAATCAAAATGCTTGTGTGCGTTTTTTGACTCTTTGAGTGTGTAGGACAATTGATCTTGAATTATTTTTGAGCTGTCGTCTACTGCTGCTACTGAAGGTACAGCATACACTGCTGGCCCGTTGCTGTACACAGTCTACTTTAGTGCCGAATTTAGGTCGTTGCTGTACACAGTCTACTCTAGTGCCGAATTTAGGTTGGGCTTGCGGGAATGTAAACAGTAGTACGTAGGGCCACAGAGCTGGACAACTCAGGTCTCGGATAAATTTCAGTCAGTACTTTGCATGCGTTGATTGCTTTAAGCAAACGTAATCGTCGGCAGGGGTAAGGTGACACGGCATGTTGTATTTCGAACTATTCAAAAGTTTTATGACCAATATATAGAACTAGAGATTCATCATTCATAATTTTGAATTAAGATACTTTGATGTGTGCAGAGCATGAAAGTCTACTGAATCCATGTTGGTCATAACAACAGGAATAGTCAGGGGTATGTGGTGGCCTTGGGAAATGCACAGTCTTTACTAGGGAAAGTATACTGGTGCCTCTGGAAATAATGAAAACCATATCAATTCCCAATATACCGTTTAAATTCCTAGTTTTGGTTCAATTTAAAAGTGGTCAAAATTATAGTAGTGTAGCTACTTGGGTCATAAAACAACAGCACTCATCTATGGGACACACGACATAATTAATGCACACATAATAATCAATAAATATTTATATTCTGCTACCTAAACTTTCTTGACAAGGAACATGAAAAGCACCATGAGAAGGATCATGAAATGGACCATGAGAAAGACCATGACAAGGACCACGAGAAATACCATGATATGGACCATGATAAGGACCATGAGAAAGATCATGGTGGTGATCAGGGGATGATGTGCCATAAGGATAACAATCAAGGCAAGTGCAAGAGCTTGGGCAAGAAGATTGATGAGGGCATGCACTGCTTCAGATATGGTGACAACAAGTGTGCCAGTTCTCACTGCTGCAAGGAACATGATGACGACAAGGACCATGGCAAGGACCGCGAGAAAGATCATGATGACACCATGATAAAGATCATGATGGTGACGAGAAGATGATGTGCCATAAGGATAACAACCAAGGCAAATGCAAGAGCTTGGGCAAGAAGATTGATGAGGGCAAGCACTGCTTCAGATATGGCGACGACAAGTGTGCCAGTTCGCACTGTTGTCATGTTTATTAGTGAAACATACCGCTACGAATTCTAGTCCACTCGAGACAATACGGTATCAGCGTCCTTCTCGTGAAAATTACACGTTCCGAAACGGGTATATGTTTACATTTCAGTCAGATACGTTGTTCAATGGAATATATTGCTCACGAATATAAACTTTATCTACATGCAAGCGTACCGCAGAGATGTGAAGATGAAAGATCATCATGATTACACAGCAGTACACAGCGTTAAGTACAGTTAGCGACACATCCTGTAGACTCATCCACAGTAATGCTGCTTTTAAACGAAGAGTTACACAAACTTATTGCGAGAAGTATACTGAAATCGAAATCGGTTCGAGTTTCCAACACCGATTTCTTATTTTGACTAGAGAGCTGTATTTATAGTTGTGTTAATATTGGATCAATAAACTTGATATCAACGATGGTGTATGACGTTGGGATCCAGAACATCACTTAAAGTGCTGTTGGAGACCAATGTATCGATTTCCTGTTCAAATTTGAATATCATGCTATTGCACATCTACCCCCACCAAAGCAAACCTCAACCTGAACCTGGAAAAAATAAAAATTCAATCCAGTTCAGTTGTATAGCACAGCAGACAACGATATATGCGCTTGACCACTACTCGCCAACGATAAACAGCTGTTCTTTTCGGATATAAATATAAATTCTCACATGACTTGTAATGCAGGCACTTATTTGCATGCTATCCACCTGTACTACTCCAAAAATATTTCAAAGAATATTCAAGCGAAGGAATTTATCCACCTGTACTACTCTTAACATGTTTATGCTATATTGTATAATACGCACAAATTCGCATAGTTCTGCCGCTTACCTGGAGTGCTTCAATCTTATGGTGTCTTAGAGGGACATTTCATTATGTTTTTAAAGAGCAGGGTGAGCAGTACTTCCATCAACACACAAAACCCTCGAGTGCTGTATACCTTCTTTCAGGAAAGATTTAAAAAGAGAAATACCAGTCTAACATCAGTCTAGCGCGATTACATTACAAAGGATTTTAAGTAACAATGTGGATGAAAAGTACGTCGTCCATATTCGATAACAGATCGACAACAGGTGAGTACATATAGACCTAACCTCCGTCGAAGGCTTTCTTTCATTTGATATCTACGAGTATAAACAAACAGTTCATCACAAGTAACGCGTGTTCTACATTGCAGCCAAACCGGTCAACTTGATATTGAGCTTGGTTGCTCTCAATTCTAAATACTACTACACGTCACCGTTAAAAAATTGAATCCGTGCTGTGTATATACTTTAAGTGATGCGATTGAGCACGGCGCATTTAGCGGGCGTCAATACTATCCTTAAATTTATTAAGAAATATCGAGCTGCTATGATCATTTTAAACTGTGGCGACACACCGGGCAGTTATCATTTGGGGCGAGGAGAAGCATATTCCGCACACACAAATCGTGGAAGACATGCCCACAGACCAGCTTCCGGCCGCCCTCATCGGGTTTCTGACACGAAGCTGCGAGAATCACCTCCAGACAAACAGCACATTCAGTATCAACATCTGAGCTTTCACTCCAATCTCCCGGGATTCTCTTCAGAACCAAGTGTTTATCGCGGACATACCCTCTTGGCGGGGGTGAAATGAGATCGTATAAAGCTCTGGCAGCGGAAGGGTCTAGTACTCCAGACGACGGCATCATTTCCTCTTCAAATCGCTCCATTGCTTCAGACTGGATTCTATAATCTCCCGGAGGCCCAATTGCTCGACAAAGGTCGCATTCTGCATGCCCATCAGAGTAGTAAAACTCCCTTAGGGCTTCATCGCAGGCTTGGCAGTTCCTCATAGGCTCGTTGGCGAGATTCCGGGATAGTGGTGTTGAACTTCTTGTATCAAAGCGACAGAGCGCACACTCGTCACTACTGATGAGCTCTATGTCGGGCACACTCACATGGCACTTGGCACACTCTCTGTCAGAATCTGATGGGTACGATGTATCCCTGTTCAGCAAAATCACATCGCGGGATGTTAATCGAGGCCTATGCGGTGGGGAACCAACGAGCCGAATCTCGTCTATCGAATTCATTCTGTGCCTCAATTGCGATGGCGAATGGATCCCTGCTTCGTTTATAGCTCGGCAAAAAGCGCACAAAGCTATACCGCTCGGATTCGCGGCTTGCTCTGCAGTACTACCACAGGCTATACAGGGTGTATGGGGTATTGGTGCTTGTCGTGTTCTTGAATATGTTGTCCCCTGCGACGCTGAAACAGAAGAGGGCAGACCAGAGCCGGTCTCACGTCGAGTTGTTTGAGGGATTGTTCGCTGTGTTGTGCGAGAAGAAATATCGGTGATTTGAGTGCCTAATACTCCAGAAGCACTCTCGGCATCATCCGGATTGCTGCTTAATCCGGAGCGGTGTGCCACGTCCTGCTCACGCTTTGCGTATCTATACTTAACGGACGAGGGTACCTCCTCACTGGTCGGTCTCCAGCGGCTTCGTCTTGTTGGTTGAGTGAACGTTTCGGTGTTTGGAATGTCCACTACCGTAGGAAGGTTCGGTATTCCCCCACTGGAATGATCCCCATTTTCACCGGTATCAGCTGTTCGAGGAAGTGGTTTCTTTCTTATTTGGGAGGACATAGGCTGAGCCGTTTGCGAGGCCATAACGGTGTACGGACCGTTCAATGCTCCAGGAACGTTTCCAGGGTCATTCGTATTACTACCTATACCAGAACTTCTAGTTCTACGCTGATCACTTGAAGTCTGTCGTACCCCAACGGTAGAATGTGAACCGCCAAGCGTCTGACTTGTTTGATTTCGGCGTGCTGTTGGGCGTGCTGTCCGCGTTGACGTATCAGTAATTTGTGTATCTAATACCCTAGAAAGACTTGTAGGGCTGTTCGAACTTGTATGTGGGCTAGAGTGGTCTGGTATCCGTTCCACTGTAGGCCTGTGTACAATACTAGTCTCACCACCGGTCTGACCTGTATGAATCTGCCGTACTCCATTGTCAAGCGTTTCCACTTCAATGGCAAATTTATCCAAATGCCGCGTGTTGCTGCGCGCCTTCATTTCGCTACGTTTCTGCTCAGAGATGGTGATTGTGCTGTTAGTCCCGGGGCAGTCTCGTTTGTCCCGATCGACTTGACTTTCAGAACTTTCCAATTCTGTTTTTGAAGAAGAAACGGAAGCAGCCCATCTCCTAATATGTGTATTCAAGTTCAACTCCGCAGAGTCTGTGAGTGTGCTTGCAGACGAGCTCGAACTGCCGCTCGACTTGTAGTGATCTTTCTGGTGCACACCGCCAGCAGTATGTGTGCTTTGCAGGACTGCCGCTGGGGAGATGGAAGCACCCCATCTTGCTGAATCCGTCGGTACTTTCAGACAGTTTGTTGTAGATTTCCGGATTTGATATTTGTGGCTTTGGTCGCTCTGAATTTCCTCTTCGGCATTTGTATGTGGCGTAGAATCAACCTTATTGTCATACTGGGAACTATTTGAGTGAGACTCAGTAGGCGATTTACTCACTATGTAGCGCCGGAGTGCACCTAAGACAGGCAGAAAGAGCAACGATTGGCTCTTTTTTTTAGAACCCGATTCCTGTAGATCGGGAATTTCTATTATGTGAGTCTCGGGAGCTGCTTCAGTTTCCATATGCGATACAAGCCGGGCACTCGTCGGTTCGACTGCAGAGTTTATAGATCTATTTTCCATATTGATCCCTAGAAACACCTTTCCACCCATACCAAATTCTTCAATATAGCTACTGTCGTGATCATTCTCGCCCTCAAGAGCATCTTGGTAAACACTCAGTACCTCTAACATGTCCTCTGCCCGTGGAGACAATACAGGTTCATTCATCCCTGCCGTGTGTCTCGGATCATTGCCATTAACTTGGGAGATTTTTACCACATTAGGTTGCAATGCAGGTCCGTTTATCATTACCGCGTGTCTCGGATCATTGCCGTCCACTGGGGAGATTTTTACCGAATCGGGTTGCTTGTTGATTGTGGGTGTTTGTAACGCCGCATACGCTGGTGTATAAAAGACCTCTTTATCACCACTCTCATCTTTGTTACTATCGACAGCAATATGTCTAAAGCCGACATCATCAGTAATATCAACGACAGAACTGATCTTCCTGTGGTCAGCAGATCCGGAAGCTTGTTGCGGCTTCGATGCACTTGTACTCGGAAATGATTCAACGGAGACGCCACTCTGCACAACGCTGCTACCATTATCTTTCTCAATGAATTTTCGAGTACTGTCGGTGCTGGGCTTGCCGGTATAGTCATCAAGTGCCCTTTTAACTCCTAAAGCACCTGCATACACACTCAGTTCAGGGCGCCACTTATCTGACACGCCAGGCTGAGTATGTGATACGCGGGTGGCGCCCTTCTGCACGCCGCTATTACCAATGTTGTCAGCAGCCACTGCTTGAGTACTATCGGGGACGGGCTTACTAACGCGGTCTGCAAGTGTTGATTGAACGCATGCCGTGCCAAAATTTACGCTCATATCAGCGTGTGACCTGTCCAGCACTAGAGGGCCAGGATGACATATACTTACTGTGCTGGTCTGCAATCCGTTAATACTGTTGTTTCCAATGCCTTGTCCACTACTGTCGGGGCTAGATGGTGGTTGACTACTCGAGCCGCCCGAAATCACGCCCACTTCAGCGTGTGACAAATCCGACGCAACCATTTCAGCATGCGACAACTGCGACTCAACGGGCGCCAAATTCAGCGCGTTAGCTGTCCTGTATCTGATACAGGGTTCAGCCGGGAGGATTGTATCAGCGACGATACCAGCACTGGTGTCCTGGGTTTGTACCATGGGCACGGTAGATCCCCATCTGCTGGTCCCACGCACACAGTCGAGACACTTCGCAGCACCGTTAATTCCCAGTACCCATTGGTGGTGACTGAAGTCCACTGGACCTTTGTCACTACGACATACACTGCAATACATCAATCGCTCGTTTGCTAGCTCACTTGCCGCCTGCCACTCCCGGTACACGTGTGTGTCTTGAGTTGTTGTATTCTTATTGCACACAGAGCACACGTATGTGTGCGTATCTTTACCTAAACGCTGCCCCAAAGTAGCACCCACACAAGCTTTGCACCGCGCAAAACGCCCTTTATACCTCTCTTCAAGATCATAATACTGAAACCCATCCAAACTCATGTAGAATGAGGAACACATAAGTAAAAAATTGCCACATTGAACACCCTCTGTATCTTTATCAACCTGAAGAGACATACCGTTGAGCACACAATCCTTGCATTTGGCCACCCCCTTACCTAACTCCCACTGCGTTGCACTGTACTCGTCGTGCCGTCTTATAGTATGACAGGCAATGCATGTCATCAGACCATGAGTATATACATCACTATTACTACCGCTACTACAATTGCTGCTGATGACGTTGTCAGCGCCACTACTATCAACGCTACCATTGTTCTTCTCTCCCCATACCTCATTCAAAACACAAGCCTTATATTTAATTGCTCCTGCATTCTCAGGAAACCGGGCTTTGCTGAATCGGAATGACGGGAGGCTCCGAGCGCATGCCCTGCAGGTGTGGCGTGTACTGGTCGTTCGTGTGCTCTTTCCAACCACACGCGTATCTATATTGCCAGCACTCCGGCGAATATTGTCTTTCATACGTACAGCTACACTGCCAACACTCCGGGGTGTATTCGCTTGCACATTTAGATGGAGATCGGCACTGTTGTCGCTATCGTCACTATCAAACTGTAACCAGACAGCGAATTTGACACACGTTTTGCACGTAACGCATTCATCAGCGTTCTTGCTGAGCTGGCCTGCGCTGAAGCGGTCGCAAGAAAGTACTTGAGCGCACGCTTTGCATGTTCTGTAGTCACCAGCCAACATTGTCGTACAATACTATAACCTAAACCAATTACATGACGTGCATATGTTGGTGAGTGCGGATGTGCACATACTGCAACGGTGCTGGACGTGTTGTTGCGCTATGTATATGTATGTTTTCATATCACACAGATGCTACGTGTGTGTCTGCCTTCGAAATACACAGTTGCTATGTGTATATGTGTACGCCTACAACGGTTGCTATTTATTATTTTGGACTTCGACTTTTATCGGCCCCATCTCAACCTACGTCTATGCAGTGAGTTTCATACGTTTTTACGTAAAAAAAACTGCTCACTCGAGAACTGCACTCATCAGTTCAAATCGCGATGGCACTTATACTTTATAGCATGTGATAAACGACTGGAGGTAGTGAGGTTCGATCTCGACATAATATAAATACCACATGTACAGAACACACGCAAACCTATAGCGAGCCATGCCCACCATATCACTGTAGATAACAGAGATGTACAGTCTCAACATGAACTATGCGATTCTCCTACTTCTCGCATGGAGGGCTACATGTGTGCGGCTATCGCACTCGGACGTGCAGCATGTTACCATAAAAACGCCTTTGCAAGATACGAAGCCAGTAGACACACGCATCGTCGACCCAGCGTCTGCATATGCTTATCCCCACACCTGGGCAACCGTAGACAAACTGGATATCAAAACGTTCATAACCCCTGAGACCGGTAACAACAATTGGACTACGGTTTACAACAACAAACGTGGACAACCCAAGAAGACAATGGGAGTGTGCATAGACAGTGTGGATTACAAGACCCCTATGAATGCATCGTGTGGCGCTATACACGTGCGAGGCTTATCCTCGCGTACAGCAGCGTTGAAAGGTCTGGGTATCAAACTGTACACTAACTCAACGTATGGGCCGTGGAGAGGCCGGCGTAAAATACTACTCGGGAGATCGCCCTTTGAGGAATCACGCATACGCAACGCTGTGGGATATGATATGCTGAGGCACATCCCTGGATTTGTATCGGTTGGCTTGGGCTTCGTACATCTCTTCGTGAATGGGGAAGACTACGGATTGTATCAGGTTTTAGAAAGGTATGTGAGTTTCTCTTGTGCTTGTCTGTGAGAGTTGCGATTATGTTCTGACTCACGTTTTGCCTTCCATCACTTTGTTTATATATATATATATATATATATATGTATATATATACATATATATGTATATATATATAATAGTATATATACATAT